TGTAAAGCGCCTATGAGAATGTTTTTAATAGGCGTTATATATATATATATATATATATATATATATATATATATATATTAGATGAATTGTTGGCGTTATTCAAATTAAAGTGTCTTTTCAGTTTTCGTTACTAGACTTTTCTGAAAATTGTTCAATTTGTTGAATTGTTCAATATATATATATATATATATATATATATATATATATATATATATACATATATATATATATATATATAAACATACCTATATATATATATAGGCCGCATTTTGATTTTCTCCGTATTTTTTCTCAATTTCATAGTTTAAAATCGAGTATTTGGTTTGAATTTAATTTCATTTGATAAAGAAAATTTTTACGAATTTAGTGATATTATTTGTTTGCGTTAATTGTATGAAGTTAATTTTGTCTCAATTAATTTAAGTTAAGTTGATTTAATAGTAAATTCTTGTTTAATCGACAAAAGAAGGAATTTAATTTTGTAAACGATATAGGATAACCTGTATTGTTTTATCAGACTATTAGATATAGTGACATATTTTACTGTTGAATATGTCGAAAGATAAAGGCAACAAATGTAAAGTTAAAATCAAAGAAAGTAACAAAGAGTTAATTTGTTGTGGCATATGTTGTGACGGCTACCACATCAAATGTATTCCGACCGATGCTCAAGTCTTGACAGCAGTAGTAACCGATTCTAATTTAAATACGCAGATTAAAGATGTTGAAAGGGGTTTGAAAAAATATTAGGCTGAAGTTGTAAAGGGAACCATTAAAAAAGAAGTTAAATCGACTACGGTGGCTCTGAACAATGTCGTCAAATCTATTAAAACCGATGTCGAAACAATCAACCGTGAGTGCAATGTTGTGTTAATTTGGCTCAGTGAAGGTGAAACTAACTGCTGATGCGCGCAATGATCATAAGAAGATCGTTATGAATTTGCCGTCAACCATTACAAATGATGAAATCAAGCAAAGCGATATTAAGAAAATGTACAGAATTGGCAAAAAAGGTGTCCGATGTTGATTGGGTCTAAAGAAAAGTCTATGAAAAACATGATAATGGAAAATCGTGTGAGGATGAAACAATTGAGTGATGAATTAAAAAATGTCAGCATAAGCCATGACTTCACTAAAGAACAGCGTGAAAAATGTAAAAAACTGGTAGCTGAAGCAAAAGATAAACAGAAACAGGAGTCGGGGGAATTTTTGTACAGGGTGAGGGGAGATCCGTTAAATTTGAGAATAATAAAAATATAGAAATATTCAACAAAAAACTAAAGCATACTAGTTCTGATTGTGCGTCTATGGTTTTCAACTCTTCTGGTAATGTCAATAAAATTAAAGTGGGTCTGTTAAACATTAGATCTTTTGGTCCAAATGTTGATGATGTTTTTGGGCTGCTCAATGATGGCTTGGATGTTTTGATGCTTACAGAAACTTGGCATAAATCATTTGATAATATTTGTCTTAGTTTGGCAAAGCCACGTGATTTTAGTTTTTTGGAACAAGTTAGGCTAAATGATCCTGGGCATGGTGGTTTGGTAACGTATTTCAGAAACCACTTTAAATGTGTAAAAATTCCATTGCCAGTGATTATTATATTTGAAGCGATATGTTTTAAAGAGACACCACAGAAGACTTCAGTATTTTTTTTTGGTGATAGGCCAGGTTCTGCTCCTCCTGCTGAATTATTTTTTGAAAAATAAATTTTAGTTTTAAAACAAATCACTCTTTTATGTTGCAGTATTGTAGTTGCAGGTGACTTCATCATACACGTAGAAACTTTCTCAGATATATATGCAACAGCTTTTGCTGATATTTTCTCTAGTTTTGATCTAGTCAATAGAATTAATCAGTCTACCCTGGTAGTACCCTGGATTTGATTGTCACATCGGATGGTTTTTTTGTTAGAAGATATATTGGTGTACCCATCTGGTATCTATTCAGACCATGGTTTAGTAACTGGTCAATTTTTAATCAATCCGACTCCAGTCATTTTCAAGAAATCGTGAATCAGATCCTGGAAACGAGTGGATAAAAAACGTTTGACTGGGCTTTTGAGGTGCTCACTTATCTCGAAACATTATGGTCAGGATGATGATGTCTAATTGGGTTTTAAAATATTCAATGAAGAGCTTTTAAAAATTGCTGACGATGTCGCTCCACTTCATGAAGTTTGATGGAAACACTGCCCCATGGTTTGACAGTGACTGCAAAAAGGCTAAGCAAATGTGTCGAAAAAAAGAAAAAAGGTTCAGAACTACTGGTTGTTATAATGATAAAGTTGATTGGGTACTGGCAATGAAACAAAAGAATGTTTGTTACTCAGTGAAACGAAGGAGTTTTTGGTTCGCGAAAACATGTCAATTTAAAAATAAATCCAAATACTTATGGCAAACGATTAATAAATTATTAGGAAAAGAGACAAGTGTTGAAAATGAAGTTGGTTCAATGCATAGCGCCGATGATTTAAAAAAATTTTTTGCTGACAAGTTGAAAGTGACCGAAAAGTCAACTGAATGTTTTAATTTTCCAGTTATTTCTATTAATACTAATATTATGTCTCCACTCGAATCGTTTCCAGTGTTGACTGAAGAACAGATATCTAAAGTTGTTAATTCGTCATCTACGAAGTCATGCTCACTCAACCCAATACCGACGCATGTATTCAAAGAATATGCTGACTGCTTTATTGTTTACTTAACGGACTTAATCAACATGTGCTTAACGAAGGGTGTAATGCCATAGGTTTGCAAGCATGCAATTGTCACGCCAATTCTAAAGAAAACAGGATTAGATAAATCAGATCTGATAAACTATAGGCCGGTGTCAAATTTGTCTTTCGTTTCTAAAATTATAGAACGTTCCGTTGAGTTAGTTTTAAATAATCATATAAATAAAAATGTTATTTGGCCTTCGCATCAATCTGTATACAGAAGGTTTCATTCGACCGAAACAGCTCTATAGGATATATTCTCTCATGTTTATTCAGCAGTTAATGTACAAAAAGTAACTTTGTTGACATTCCTGGACATGAGTTCGGCGTTCGATACTATGAATCATAAAATCCTGCTAGGCAGACTGAAATATTGTTATGGTTTAAATAAGATTGCGTTAACGTGGTTCGAATCATTTCTTACTGGTCGGACTCAGCAGATTTCTTACTCGGTGGTCTCTTGGAACCAATGAAACTTAGGGATGCCTCAAGGATCTGTTCTTGGACCGATTCATTTTAATTTGTACGTTGCAGAGATATTGGATTTACTGAATAAAGATGGTTATTATTGCCATGGGTACGCAGATGACATGCAGATTTGCGTTTCATGTTTCCCAGATGAGATGCCTACCGTATTAGAGAAACTGAAAAAACTATATCTGATGTCGGCTCGTGGCTAGGTCAAAGTAGGCTAAAGTTGAATCAGCTAGAATCAGTTCATGTTGGCTGGTACATGGCAACAAACGTCAGCTGTTGAACCTTTATCGATTAACATCAGCATGACTGTTATAAGTTTCAGTAAAACGGTTACCAATTTGGGAATTGTGATGGACTCCCGTATGACAATGGGTCCACAAGTCAATCTATTGGTTAAAAAATGTATGTTCCAACTACGTCAATTACGTCAAGTCACAAAATCGGTAGATAGAGATACGATGACTCTATTAGTACATGCTTTTGTCAACTCTAGAATGGATTATTGTAACAGTCTTCTATATGGCATAGCTGATAAACTGTTGTCTAAACTTCAGATGGTTCAGAATCAGGCTGCTAGAATGATATATCGCAAATTAAAATTTGATCATGCATCACCAATTCTAAAGGAGTTGCATTGGCTGCGTGTTAAACAAAGAAGCATGTTCAAGAAGGATGTAATGGTATTTAAAAGTTTGAATGGTCTGACTCCGAAATATTTAGAAGATAAGTGTATTCTAGTTTCATCTATGTCATCACATGGGCGTCTAAGGTCTGCTGATTCAAACACGCTGTATGTTAGAGATCGGAATCTGAAAACAGCAGATAGAGATTTTGCAGTTGCTGGGCCTATTTTTTGGAACAGCCTACCTATCGAACTGCGTATATCCGGGTTATCATTAGCTGAGTTTAGAAAACGTCTAAAGACATACCTATTTGGTAACTCCTAGTGATCTCAACCGATGATGGCTTCGCTTTCTACATGCTTCATACTTGGAGAGTGCTGATGAGAAGCAATTATAATTGGCGCTATATAAATGCAATATTTGATATATATATATATATATATATATATATATATATATATATATATATATATATATATATATATATATATATATATATATATATATGTTGGTAATAGACCATATTTTTTACAATATTCTATAAATTCTACCGAATGTTTGGCGTTAATATGTTTGATATATATATATACATATATACACATATATATATATATATATATATATATATATATATATATATATATATATATATATATCTATATATATATATATATATATATATATATATATATATATATATATATATATATATACACATATATA